TGATTGTCACAGACTGTTTAGCGATTTCAACATCAACTTCAAATATCTCTCCATCAGAACTCTGCAACTTAATTGAAGGCATGGCGTTTGGTCTCTAAAAGATGGCGGACGCGAGGCGACGAGAGCACGAACTGAGTCCCACCAGTCGAAGAAAGGCGGCGGCGGACGAAGCCACTCTGGGTGTGTTTTAATTAGGTTGATGTTATTTGGAGTTCTATATGCTTTGGTTATTTATCAGGTCATTTCTCCATATTTGGGAAGTTTTCTGCTATTACTTCTGCACGTAAACTTTTTATATCATTTGTATTGACACCCTCTTTCTCACTGATGCCTGTTAGTCTTACATTGTTCATATTTGCATCATCTTGCAGATGTTGAATTATTTTTTCTTACATGCTAGTTGTTTTTAAGAGATCTTTTCTTACCTTTTTACTAGCTGCAATGGTGTCCTCAAGATCTGAAACTCTATCTTCACTTTCATTCAAATGGTTTTGCCAGCTTGTGATTGAGATTTCAATTTCCTACATATCTTTTTAAATCTGCTTCATGCATTCTATTTCTTTCCTATATTGCTCATTCAAGGATTCTATCATTTTTCTATTCTCTTCTATTTTTTTAATCAGTGTCTACTTTAGAAGCACTTAGTACTTCTTTCATTATAGTTATCATTCTTTTTTACTTCAGGATTATTTCTGATCTGATATCCTCTATACCTTTCTGCAGTTGTTTCTTTACTTTAGACGCTATTATTTCAGAGATTTCAGGAGTATGGCTTCCAATTTCTTCAATGTTGATGTCTCTGCATTTGTTCTGGGTGGGCTTGGAGCCTGAGTCTGCATTTTGCTCCTTCTCTTTGTCATTTTGTATAGCACTGTCCTCTGACTTTTGGTGTGGAACCTTGGTGTAGTAGTTACCTTAGCTCCTACTGATATTATTACCCAAGGGAGATTATGTGGTTAAGGAAGTTGCAGTTTTGTATTTACAGTACTACAATTAGTATCACTAATAATGGGGAGTGAGATTTAGTGATTGACAAACTTTTATAATTAATGGGTTTGTATTTTAGACCTAAGTGCAAGCATCATGACTCCATAGCTAAGAAAATATAAAATTGGGAATTTGTATTTAAGTTAGTTCCCCTGGGATCTGTCTCATCACCTCCCCTTGATGTACCTAGAAACTTCTGGGCAGATTTTCACCCCAGCTACCTGTTGCCCCCTCTCTCAAACAAGAAAGAGAGAAAAAGGATGCTCTCATAGATCTGGGTCTATCAGTGTGTCTCAGCTTACCAGGTCCAGATTTATCAAGTTTGAACTCATCCAGCTGGACCTGGTTTGGGTCTGGCTGCTCTGCTTGGCTTCTTCTTGCTGCAGCCCAGGGAAGTGAATCTGCTGTGCCCCACTGGCAAGCTGTTCTTGTCCTGGATTAGCTGGCTGTATCTTGACCCTCATCTCTCTGCCAGGAGTTTCACTGCAGGGTTTCACACCAGGCCTGACTGCTGACTGGAGTCATTGGCGGGAGTCATGGGTCCAAAACTATTAAATTTATAGCAGACTTCTCAACATGAGATTTAAAGGTCAGAAAAACATGACATGAAGTGTTTTAAGCCCTAAAAGCAAACAACTTTCAAAATGGATTTCACATATCTGGGAAAACTTTATTTCAAAATAGATGGAGAGATAAGGAGGTCACATGAAAAAGAACAACAAGAGATTCATCAATACCAATTAGCACTCTAGAAAATACTCCAGCATTTTATGTTGAGATATCCTAGATACATATGAGAAGTCAACAAAGTAAAAACATTCAAATAGAATACATCAATCAAGAGGATTAGATAAATGAAACGAAAAATGAAACCAAAGGAAACATTAAAAGAAGAACACAATGATTGGAATTAATCAACACCTCTCCATCTTAATGGCCTGAACTTCCCAGTGAAAAGGCACAGATTTGAAGACCTGATCAAAAGACAACACTAATAATCAATCGCATTCAATAAACCATTCTTACTAAAAAAGATACTCACAGGTTACAAAAACAAACATGGAAAACAATATTTCATGAACCAGGATACAGAAAACAAACAGGGGTGGCAATTTCACTTTCAAAAAAAGTAGTTTTCAGACTCAAACTGATTAGAACAGACAAAGACAGTCACTGTATACTAGTTGCAGGAATAAACTAACAAAAAAGATAACATTAGTATATGCACCAAATGCTGGAGCTCTTATCCTCATAAAACAAATATTGATGGACATAAAAGACCAAATAAACATAATCATAGTAGATGAGCCTAGTACCCCACTTTCATAAAGAGATAGATCAACTCAAAATGAAAGGAGTCCTAAGAGAGAAGCTTAATGAAATCAATCCTTACATTAGAAAAATAGAGAAAGCTTAACTAACCTAATGAGGAACCTCAAAATACTAAAAAAATCAACAACAGTAAAGCGCAAGTAGACACAAAGGACAAAAATCAGAAAGATTGTAAATAAAATGAAATTCAGACTAAAAGAAGAATCAGCAAGCTGAAGAGCTGATTCTTTGAAATAATAAACAAAACATAGACTTTTAGACAAACTAATGAGTGAGATGGGGGTGGTGGGGCCTCATCAATGCAATTACAAATTAAAAAAGGTGAAGTCACAATGGACAATGTTAAAATCCAGAAGATACTAACTATATTGTATTCCAAGAAAACTGTATTCCAAGAAATTAGAAAATCTTGAAGAAATGGACTAAACCACAAAGTCATAAAAATGTCTATAAGAATCCAATAAAAAGCAATGAAATTGAGGTGGTAATAAAAAAAAAAAAACCTAGGACCTAAAAAAAAAAAAAAAGGGGGCCAGGATCTTATGAAATCACTGCTGAAATCCACAAAACCTTTAAAGACATTATATCACCAATATTTCTGAAACTTTTTAATAAAAATGAAAGGAAAGGCATACTTGAAATTCATTTGTGGAAACCAGCCTCACTCTGATCCCCAAACAACACAGAGGTCCAACTTATAGGTTAATATCCTTAAAGGACATAGATGCAAAAATATGCAATGAGAGGCTGGGGATATAGCTCAGTGGGGCACAGCACCTGTCTGATAAGCATAAGCTCCTGAGTTCAATTCCTGGTATCAAAACCCCAAAAAAGTACTCAGTGAGATGCTGGCAAATAGAATACAACATGACCAAAAAGTCCTACATCATGAGGTAGGTTTCATCCAAGGCTTGCAAGGACGGTTCAGCACACACAAATCTATCACTATAATACACCACACAAATAGAATCACAAAAAGTACATAATCATATCAACAGATGCAGTGGAAATTTTTGACAAAATCCAAAATCACTTCATGATAAAAACTCTGAATAAAATATATATAGAAAAATTGATTTGAATATGATGACCATGA